TTGCAAAAGCACCTCAGTCAGATTTGTATTTATGCTTTACAGAAGAAAAGGATACTACAATAAAAACATTATCAGCCTGAATTTATGCCTCTGTACACTCTTAAGTTTCACTCTAGGAGTCTGCAATACATCTGTGCATATTCTCCAATTCTCTGAATCCTCTTGTAAACAAGGTGATTTTATCTCCAGTAGCAAGCTAGCCCACTGTAGTGCATAATGGCAGTAAAAATAAACGATAGAACTGCACAGCCTGATGATGGACGCAAGGAAATCAGCACACAGGAAAGTTTACTGGATAAAGAATCTGCATAATTAGATGGAAATACATTTTGGGCATCTCAGAGCAGCATGCCCAGATCACAGAATTCGCTGCTTGCAGGAGGCAGGTAATAAAGGTACATGTTTTTTCTGAGACTGCTGACTAGCTGACAAAATACAATCTTTTCATAATTTACCAAAACACAGTTAACAAAATATTCTATAAAACCCTAAGATAACTGTGTTTGCTGACTATACAAGCAAAAAGGATTTTGATACAGTTAACAATTATGGGAAAAGGTTAAATCTGTAGATCCAGACATGCTTTTTTTATATCCACACATCCCATCTTGGAATACCCAATATTGTCTTCCTTTCCTCACCAGAGGGATGGGAGCCCTCCACATTTGAAGAACAACAGTTTTTTAGACACTCTCAAATCAAAAGATGGAGTTTTGTTTCTTAGTGCCCTATTAAAATATAATTATGATGGACATGAATCTTATGGAAACTACTCTAAAAACATTTTCTGTATAGTAAAAACAAAATTTCACAAAAACACTGCTATCACTAACAAAAATGTCATCATTCTTACCATGACAAGAGATACTTAAATCAAACTACTTTTAAGACGAATGGGAAACCTGGAAAATTATTCAAAGTTAAAGGAGACTGAACATATATGTAATAGTGTTTTCTACCTATTATATAAATCAAATTCTCTGACAAAAACATGTCAGATTGAAGAAGAAAGGAATATCCACTTCCAGTTCTTCTAGACAGTTTTTCCTGCTAAAGGACTATTATACTTTTGAATTAAAGATTTTTAATAACTACTTCTTCAAAGCAGTTGAACACAACCAAACAAACCTTCTTATGTGGAAGAAGAAACTCTAGATAGCTGACAAATCCATCCAGTGCTGGTGCTTCAGAAGACTAATCCTTGGTTTGGTATAGTTATCTGTACTATCTAACACACATAAAGCACAACTTCTGAAGTCTAGAGATCCAGCATCACGATTTTTATATGACTAATATGACATTTGTATGTGATCTTCTCATCTTGACAGATTGTTTTTGTAAAACATTTGTGACACAAGAGAACTGTAATAGGTTTTTAATTATTATTTTGTTAAAGGAAGATTATGAATGTGTTTAACTTGTCTAATTAACTTCGCATTGCATTCCTAAAGTGTTATGATCCTCCTCTACCTTCCTCTACGCTTTTTAAAACTCCTATATATGCCCATATTTTAAAGGGAACCCCAGTGACACAGTATGTAATAGAAAACTGCTTTTGTCTCACACAGGCAGCAGGCTCATGAAGGGGGAAACTCCTTGTTTAAAGAAGGGTAAGTTTTCTCACTGGCAGGTACCAACAGAATTTCCTCCAGAAAGATCCCACCAGAGCAAGCAGGAACAGACTCTACCTGAAAAAGGCAGCTGAGTCACCGATACAGCAGGACTCTGCAGCTGAGGACATACCTCCGCCCACCAGGAAGCCACAGGGCTACCACTGATGAGCTTGACCTGGATCAGGGAGAGCCAAGAGACCCACGATCACAGTGAGGCAAAGGAGAGTTAAAGGGATGTATCCACCAGAGGAGCACCCCAGCCCTCTGTAGGAAATGGTATCACGAGGAAGACTTATCCCATGTTTTCCTACTGACAAAAGAGGAAGATCTCAGCCAGCTCAGACTTCCCCCCAAGCTAACTCAACGCTCTGAGCCAGCAGGGAAATAACCCTGTCTTCTGCTGATTTGAACTGACTCATAGGTGGATCCACAAAGCCAGAGCAAGGAGCAGTGAGCAGGCAGGGGGTCAGGAACAGAGAGTGAGACAGAGGACGAGGGAAAAAACAGGACCTCTCCTTTTTCATGGGGGTTAGCACTGCTTGATCCATCTGGTGAAACCACAGCATCACTATGAGCAGAAAGAATCGAACTGTTATCTGTGTGCTCCATATGGAATTGGTTGGTTGGAGAAATGCTGTTGTCTCCTTTGCCCCCCTCTCACCCTCCTATAACACATTGCTTGGCAATGCTAATTTGTTCAATTCATAGTTTGCGAGCACAGAAGAAAAGTTTGCCAAGTGCCAAGATTAAATTTTATGGGTACCTGCTAAAAGTCTTAATTCAGTGCTTTTTCAGCAGCGATTCTTGGAAGTTCCTTATTCAGCCCAAAACTGACAAGGTTAAAAGAATGTTTTGCAGGTGTAAGATATTTTACTTTATTTCTTAAAATTCTGGATTAGATATTTCCAGAGAGTTCTTAGGACAGATGCTTGTGTGGTAACTTTCCTCCACATGGAAACTTGTTTCAAAAACTGGTGTTCTTCAAACGGCACATGCACTCATGAAAATTAGAACTATAAAGGTTAAAACATTTTAAGACACACGGTGTGCTCCAGAAGCAAAGTCTTTCAAAAACACAAACATTGCACCTGGATTTTTGTAGCCAGACTCTGAACTGTGGCCATGTTTACTTGCTGCTGGATGAGCAGGAAATGGTGATTTCCAGTTCTGTATCATGGAGCTGCTCTAATTAAATGCTCACCAATAGATCATATCTAACATCGACTACAACAAGGGAGAACAGGAAAAAAGAAGGAAGAAAAAACAGACTAAATAATATTGCTTTAAACACAATTCTTTAGCATATCATACTTTACATTGTCCTTTACTCCCTTGAAAGCAGGTGGAAAATGCTATCAAGGAGGTTTTTTTCCCTATGTCGCATACAACTAAAATTACTATGGTAATGAATTATGGCAACTCAGAAAACGTTTATTAGGAAATATAAGTACAAGCTGCTAATGAACAACTTCTCCTTGTTCTTTTTTCACCTGCAGAAGGTTCAGACTGGAGAAAACATGAAAGTAGTTTGGCATAGAGTTGGAAACATGATCATCACCTGCATTAACAGATGAACAAGCAGGAAAGACAATAATTACCTTGCATTTCTGTGCACCCTTATTTAGCATTTAAAATAAATTAGATTGTCAAAAGTTATGCGTGAACAAAACTGGAAACTGCAGGTTTTCTGCCATAAAAGTATCCATCACTATCCAGACCAAACTCCAACTCTAGCTCCCCCATCGCAAAGAAGACATGAATGATTTTGAATATTAGGGGGATAGGAATCGGTGTGTACTTGCATCCATCTTCCTCTGCGTAACTTCAACAAGCACCTTCAGAACATTTTGGTTTGAAAGCAACACATGGACTCGAAACCCCAATAACTAAACCCAATGATGAACCACCCCCGCACTACACAGATATATTTGCATATATATGTGCACACACATGTATCTATATAGAATCAGAGAATGCTTAAGAGTTGGAAGAGACCTTAAAGACCATCTAGTTCCAACCCCCCTGCCATGGGCAGGGACACCTCCCACCAGACCAGGTTGCTCAAAGTCCCATCCAGCCTGGCCTTGAACACTTCCAGGAATGGGGCATCCACAACTTCTCTGGGCAACCTGTTCCAGTGCCTCACCACCCTCACAGTGAATAATTTCTTTCTGATGCCTAATCTAAATCTACCCTCTTCCAGTTTAAAGCCATTACTCCCTGTCCTATCACTGCACGCCCTTGTAATAAGTCCCTCTCCAGCTCTCCTGTAGGCCCCCTTCAGGTACTGGGAGGCCCCGATAAGGTGTCCCTGGAGCCTTCTCTTCTCCAGGCTGAACAGACCCAACTCTCTCAGACTGTCTTAATAAGAGAGGCACTCCAGCCCTCTGATCATTTATATTACCCTCTTCCAGTTTAAAGCCATTACTCCCTGTCCTATCACTGCACGCCCTTGTAATAAGTCCCTCTCCAGCTCTCCTGTAGGCCCCCTTCAGGTACTGGGAGGCCCCGATAAGGTGTCCCTGGAGCCTTCTCTTCTCCAGGCTGAACAGACCCAACTCTCTCAGACTGTCTTAATAAGAGAGGCACTCCAGCCCTCTGATCATTTATATAAAATATATATAAAAAAAAAAATATATATATAAGCACACATTTAAATCCAGCAGTCCCTTGTTGGCATTTGCTCAGAAGGAGGAGGACTCGTTTAGCGGACCCACACCTGTAGGCCCCCTTCAGGTACTGGGAGGCCCCGATAAGGTGTCCCTGGAGCCTTCTCTTCTCCAGGCTGAACAGACCCAACTCTCTCAGACTGTCTTAATAAGAGAGGCACTCCAGCCCTCTGATCATTTATATAAAATATATATATAAAAAAATATATATATATAAGCACACATTTAAATCCAGCAGTCCCTTGTTGGCATTTGCTCAGAAGGAGGAGGACTCGTTTAGCGGACCCACACCCCGACCTCGCCGGTCCAGTCCGAGGCGTGAAGGCCGCTACCTGCCACGTCCCTCAGCCGGTCCCAGCCCTGGGCCCACCACCCGCCAACCCCTCGGTTCCACCCGCCGAGCCCCCCGTCCCGCCCAGCCCGTCCCCGCTGCCGCCGCTTCTCCTCAGGAGCCGCCCGGACATCCCACCGCGACGCCTACGGAAGCGCGGGGGACTCAGTACCTGGGTCCTACCGCTGTCGGGGAGCACCCAGAGCCAATGCCTCATTAAAAATCCTCACCGCCCTTCTCCGGTGCACTTCACCCACACCTCAGCCTCTTCCCTCCCCGCGCTAGTGGGGCACTGAGACAGACACCCCCTCTATTCCTTCCCCATAGCGGTCAGCAGGACACTTTTAATTTTCCTTTTCGGTCAGGCGCGCCGAAGGCAGCTCAGGTGGCAGAAAGGCCGCGAAGGCCCCCCTCGGACGCCGGGCGGCGGTTGACGTGTCGGTAGGGAGCGGCGGCGGCCGGTAGCATCATGTGAGTGAGCAGCCCCCGGAGCCCCTCGCCCCCTCTCCTTCTCCCCTCCCTCGCCCCCAGCCCTAACCCGGTGCTCTCTCCCCAGGTCGAAGGTCACCTTTAAAGTGACGCTCACCTCGGACCCGCGGCTGCCCTACAAAGTGTGAGTGGGGTGGCGGGACGGAGCCGGGGCCTGGGGCGAGCCTTGCGGTGTCGCTGCCTGAGGCGGGGAGGCCATGGAAACCGGCGGCAGCGCAAACGTACACGCTCCTGAGCGGCCAGGGTCATCGTGATGGGGCCTCCTCTCTCGTAGAAAAGGTGTTTTTCAAGAGAGGTGGTTTTCTGGTGTTAACGCACTGGTCAGGAGTTCTCAGCTTTGTTGTAATGCTGTACCTACCTTTGATCTAGAGCTTAAATAGTACACACGCATCTTTGCCAAGAGTATTGCCATTGGTAAAATTGAAATTTTAGTTAGTAGTTTAATAGCAAGGTTGCTTTTCAGTTTGTTTCGGCAGTCACATATTTACTTATGTTGTAATTTCAGGTTAAGTGTGCCTGAAAGTACACCTTTCACAGCTGTCTTGAAGTTTGCTGCGGAAGAAGTAAGTAGAAAGTGATGACGTTGTGATTTTTTTTAACTTTTTGAACGTTTCTGGAAGAAAAAGCTTTTTAATTATAAAACAAAATGGTTAATTAAGCATGAATAATGCTCGTTATATAGTTATGGACACAAGCTTTACTGATGTCAGTGGGGGCCTGTCAAAACTTTTAGAATCCTAAACGTAGCAATGCCTGCACAATTTACACATCAGCGGTGGATATCAACACGCATCCTGTTCTTCTTTGCAATTAAATGAAATCATTTTATAGCAATAACGTACAAATTTATGACAGGGAACGTAATCTTTCTTTGGAAATGTTCAGGAAATTCTTTTAACTTCTCATGTTCAGTTTCAATACTCTCTGATTTTGGAAGATACATAATTTTTGATTTTAGAAGGTATTGAGATTAGGCATATAGGTTAGATCCAAAAACAGACTTAAATTGTTGGGGCCTTAGCGATACTGAATGAATACCAGGGTTTGTGAACCAAAGCCATGAGCTAAAACTAACGGATACAGTTGCAATTTAAGTTAGCAGAAAAGTAAGAAAATGCGGATGGGAAAATGCTGATAGCAAAAATAATACGCATATAGCATCTTTCTAGACTAACCAATCACTTAAGGATTAAGGGCGCGTGGACAACGCGTGATACCCAATCAAGCTTGCTCTATCTTGCGTGCTCGGCGCGTGATCGCGTGAACAGGAGAACAGAAAGAATATTTAAGAACGCAGCCTGTTTAATAAAGTTGGAATTGAACTTGCATCATACTGGTGCGTCGTTCTTTCCTGCTCGCTAGAACGGCGCGCAGCAGACTTAAATTAATAAGACATGGATAATGTGGTGGTTGTCTTCTGAGTGTTTGGTCTTTCACATGGGATTCAAAACCAATACGTGCCTAAATTGCATGTATAATGTATTTGGAAAGATGCCTCCTGCTTGTTTCAGATTAAGTGTACAAAAATTAAGAGATGTTCATCTGGTTGTAAACAGTAAAATAAAGTGCTGAAAAGCATGATGACGTTTTCTGTCTAGTCAGCACGTCTGTTCTTGCAATTATCTTCTGTCTTTTTAGGAAAACAAGGAAAACTTTTAGTTACTGAAAAATGCCATTTTTTCAAGCATTGGAATAATAATGAAATAGATAATTAGAAAAGATAACGGCCTGCGTATCATGGGTCTCCTTATGTTGTTAGTGTTACACCACTATATGACAGAAGTTCTTTGTGGAAACACAGCTTGTGGGCAAAGGTTGTGTATTGTTTTTTGTTGTAACTTCTCTTGAGTAGAACAACATACAGAATAATAAATGGTGTTAAAGATATTTGCTGATTTAATTGCTGGGGTTTCAACTGTGGTTTTTTTTCCCAGTTATTTTTAATCTGAACTAATGCATCCATGTCCACACAACCCATACATAGAGACCTAGACTGAAAAGTCTAATAGCCCAGTATGAGGGACCAGGAAAGATTGGAGTGGGACTGCGTTGGACACCAGGAATGAGAAGCCACTTGTGGTTGGGGAGTTGCTGTGAAAACTATTAGTTTTACCTCCTTGTGGAACCACAGTGTTAGTTGGTGATAGGGTCCTCTGTGAAATGGGTTTAGAAAAGAATTAATTACTTAAATGTTCATATTTAGCAAACCATTCTTTTAGTTGATGTTAGTATTTTGACCATCCATGAGAGTTTTGGTGTTTGATCCCAGACTGCTCTGGATCAGCACCATTTTATAGGGTAATTGCAGATGTGTTTTGGAGGCTCACAAGAAAAAATAAAAATGTGTGATGGAATGTAAAAGAGCCCATTGTTGCTAACGCTCACTAGGGTAATTCCATTAAATGCTTATGTAATAAACATTTTCTTTTAAAGAAAATAGAATATACAAAGAACACTTTATTAATTTCCCCTCAAAACAGCGTGAAGCACTTTGGTATTAGCCAGTGTTAGTGATAAATAGAAATTAATAACATGAACATATGATTGATTTTTCAGAATATGGCACTGTTTTTAGTTGTCATTGCTAACGTGTTACTGAAGCTTTTTACATCTCTGTGAGACCAGACAGAACTAAGTGCTTTGTAAATAGAAGGCAAAAAAGACTGTTAGACTCTTCCCCAGGAATGAAACTCCTTTGATCCTTCGTGAACAGCCATTGAAAAGAATGAGAAAGGAGTGACCAGTTTCACAGTACCCTGTATGAAACGTACAAGAAAAAAATCAAACTGTAGCCCTGGATTTTGGACAAATATGTTAGCTGGTCTTCAGGGGAAGAGCACTATCTCCTTACTGATCAAAGCTCTTGGAGCAGAGAAGGATTTAAGTTTTGGCTGTTTAGCCTTTTTACTGAGTCGTTTTTCAGAATTTTAAAGTTTGGCCAAATCATGACCAGAATTCCTCTGGAACAGTAGGAACTGTAGCCATGATGTAGGATGGTCATCTTATATATCAAGTTTCATTCACAAAGCTTTGTCAAAGGTTACGGTTTTACCAAGCAAAGTTTTCTGAATTACTTTCACTGCACAAAACAAGATGTGTTCCTCTTTTTTTTTTTTTTTGGCCTTGGAAACAACTGAAATACATAACGGATTTTTTTCTGTCATCTCTAGCACATCACATAACATGGGAAAGTTCATTGTACACAATTCACAATTGACAGAGATGGAAATGAAAGAAAACTGGGTCATTAAATGGTGAGGTCTCAGGAAGTCTCAGTCATTTGTAGCAGTCTCAGCCCTTCCCAATTATACGTTTGGCAATGATAATTTGGATAACGCGAATTGAACTCTTTCCTTATTGTTTATTTTCTGTTTATCTCACAGACTATATATAAAAATGTAAATTGAAATGTAGAGCATTGGAAACACTACTTTTTCCATTTTTTTATCTATTTATAGTTCTTTCAACAGTTGTCACAGTTTATTGTGACAGTGTTAATGTTCTCTTTACAATGTGTGATATCTGTTGGGTTTTTTCCTTCATCTGTTAGAGCCATTTGGTACGTACCTCAGGTGTACGTTTACACAGTACTTACAAAAAAAACCCCTCTCTTACATTTGTCGAATTGTTACTAAAATAGTCATCCATTTCCATTAAGTAAAGTTAAACTTTATTCTTTCATAAACATGTATATGTTTCAGAGTATTGTTTTGGATTTTTAATGTTACTCTTGATAGATTGGTGTTAAAATACTATGGTTTAATGCACTTACCCGCTATTATTTCTGCCAAAAGGAGATGAGCTTATTGCTGTAGAGGATTTTTGTTGCCATTGTAAAAAGTGAGAAGGGGATATAATTTTGCTATATGATTGACATACTTTCCTTTCAGTTTGATTGTAGATACTGAAAAATGTATTTCCTAGTATTGGAGAAATACGCTTTTGTGTGTCAGCCTCACTTATGAATGTATAAGGCAAATTCGGTTTCAAAGCAAGCCAGGGATTATCTACTGACTACAGAACTTCTTTGCTGCTTGAGTATCCGTTTGACTTTGTATCACAGAAACCTTGTACATTTGCAGCATGGGAAACATATGCTTAGCAGGCACAGGAATGATATTTGATTTAAGTAGTGAACCTTATGGCACCAAATTATTTCCAATGCTAGTTTCCTTTCCTGTATTACACTTGTGATGATAGTCGTGTGCTGACTATAGCTGACAACTGTTGCTGTTTGCTAGTATTTTGGGGTAAGATAAAGTGTTTTCCTCTCTTTTAACACCATACGATATGAAGTAATAAAAGAATATTGACTAGTGCTTCACTGACTGGTTGCTACACAGTACTCACGTGCATCTGATGTATAGGCATCAGGTAGATTCTTCTACTGAAAAGCAAAATGACGCAAAATGAGTAGAGGCATCCATCTTCCTGTGAGTGATCCGTACCTTTTCTTGAATTGTTACGTATCAGGAAAGACAGAGAAGAAATAAGAAGAAGCACTTAACATTCTAGAAGTTTTCAGAGTGATCAGTTAGTTACAATGGAAGTCTGCTTGTTGAAAAATAACTTAAGCATTAAGTTAAAAATATATTATCTGCTTGTTCAGGGGTTTTTGTGTTTATTCTTTTACTTTATGAATTGGAGATGGACTCATTTCAGGAGGCAGGACTTAATATGATTGACATTAATCGCACTGTTCAAACCTTATAAATTCATTTTCTCCCATTATGTAAAAAAACCCCAACCCAACACAAAGCCCAAACCGTTTAAAAAAATTGTCCTTCAACTACTAAGTCAAGATTCCCAAAGTTAGTGAATTTGAAAATGAAGGCTTGCTTTCTTCAGCATATGATATGTATACATTAGCTGTATGAGATCGCATATTATTTTTTACATTCTTACAGTTAAATATGTAGCTCCTATTTTATCAACTTCATTATTCAAATCTTGCTCTGAAGACAGATTGTTACTTTCCTCATTGCCTTTCAACAATGACACTGGTACCTTTTGCAGAAATTACTGTTTTCATGTCACCCTGCAAGATGAGGAGGTGACATGATTTACCTGCTATGGATGAAAAGCGAAGAGAGAATAATTAAAGTACTGCCAGTTTTTGAGTATATTAATAATTAAGTACTGTATTTAAGCATGGTTTCTGTTTTAGTTTAGCTGTTGCTGTTAATGCACAGTGTTTCTGCAAATCAAACCTGGAAATCTTTAAGTTGAGCAATTGGAAAATGAGGAAGGCACAACTAGAGAATGCCATTGAAAGGCATGGCTGAAGTGACTCTCAGCAGATGGGAGAGCTCTGCAGTTCTTCCAGGAAAGCACACAATGTTAGCATTCCTAGTTAGCTGCCTGTTTTTCTTATGCAATATAGCGAGGAGGGTGAAGTGCTTTGTGAGGAGATTTCACTGATACTTGCTCATTGCTGAGACACCAGTCTTTTACCTTAGGGGTAGTTCATTGTGCTCATGAATGGGGAGCCCAGGGAGGAACCTTTGGTCCTCAGACCAAGTAGTACCGATTGACTTCCACCCACCTCTTCTGTCCTTTGTGGCCCAGCCACATTACATAGTGCAGAATTTTCCTCTGGCCCTGCCTGGCTCCTTGTAAGCTTGAGAAATAGCTATTCTTGGCTTCCCCATCTCAGCTAAGATCTTCTGAAATAGTTGAAGCCTGTATGCAACGCAACCCCACCCGAGTAGGGCTTGTCATGTTGTAAAACTGAATGGATGTGTTGTGTATGAAGGTGGGGTACCGTGGAGACCCATGGTGGTCACTGAGGGTACAAAGCTGCATAGGCTGGTATCAGAAATCTGAGGAGGGAGCCAGATCTGATGCAGTGCTGCTAGTGCTTCCTTTTGTAAGCAAATCCTGGAGTGGACGCTCCTCTTGGAGCAGTGCAGCTGGACAGGTCCCAGTAGAGCCTAGAGAAAGCTAGGAAATTGGTCAAAATTAACCAAGATTAGCTCGAGCTGATTCTTGTTTAACTCCTGTTAGACATAACCAGTATGATTATTGGAAGTTCATTTCCAATTTCCATACATGTTTTTAGCTAATTCTTTATCCGGTATAAGAGGACATAATATTTCTCAGCTTTGCAGATGCTTAACTGTTATATTTTATCCAATGGGCAATAATAATTGGATTTAATTAGTTGTTTAGTACTGTCAATTTCACGCTTTGTATTAAGGTCTCTAACAAACTTTGATGTTAAGCCTTTATTTTACTATATCTGTAAATCTGAGGGGAATCTTTTCTCATAGTCTTTTTGTACCTGAACCAGCTAAAATTATAATTGCTTTGAATATCCTGCATATATTTTCTGCTTTAACTATGTCTCTTATGTTATTTTGTCCTACTTTTATTTCTTTTAGTTCAAAGTTCCTGCAGCAACAAGTGCCATTATAACAAACGGTAAGTATATAGTTATATTGGTTTTTTTAATAGTTTTTGTATTGTTTTTTCAGTGAAGGGGTATTGATAAAAGCAGAAGTGCCTTTTCTTTCACACCCTCTACAGACTGCAAATTGAATTTAATAATATTGCAGTATTAATTAAATCGCTAATGCATGGGATGAAGGTATTAAACCACTAATATTATTAATTTGGTTTTCTCCAAATATATAGCTTGGATTTTCTGTGCTGAAGGTTTCTTATTAGTTCCTGTATTAAGGCTAGTTTTCGTTATAGGAAATAGCTACATGAAGACCTGATGTAATAATTATATCTTCTTGTTATATTATATTTTTTGAGCTGCACGTTTAGTGTATTAAATTGTAATATGCCTGTTTCATCTTCCCCTCTTTTTTCTTTTCTCTTTTTTTTTCCCCTCTCTCCCTTAGATGGTATAGGAATAAACCCTGCACAGACAGCAGGTAAGTTATTATTTATGAAGCCTAGTATTTAAAAGCTCAGTTATTTGTCTTTTTTTAACTAATGCATAGCACTCAGGGTTCTATTTTAAGTTTTGATTTCTTAAATGGGAGAAGCATTACACAGTAGCTGAAACTACAGTCCATGTGTTGTGCAAAAGGCTAAATCCACAGAGCTGTTGTTCAGCGCTTTTTATTTAGGACTGTGAAAAAATGAGGCACTTATGATTTTCAGAGCTTAGGTATTTAGTGTGTAGTTTAAAAGAGCAACACTGTATTACATGTTACTGAAACAACAAGTAATAGCTATATTTTTTTCCCTCTATACCTAGTTCAGTAGTATTTGCTATTTTAGCAGCACTTCTGATGAGCTATGTTTAAAAAATAATACTTAGAGCAGGACCTCTAAGTGCCTTGAAAATCATGTCTTCAAGAAGAGAGGATCTTCTTGCTGATACCCCTCTTATTCTTGCCAAGGGATTTCATGTGAGAAACCTCTGATTTTGACTGTGGAGGCTTGCTATGAGACAAGAGTTTATCTCTGTCATGGAAAAGTGTAAAGATTTTTCCCATAGCCTCCTGAAATACATGGAAAAGTATTAAAGATGCTGAAGTATACTGATAACAGTCTGCTTCTGTGGACTTGTTCTTGAAAAGCTATACTTTTAAATTAATTTGGAAACTTACAGTAATCTAATCTCAACTCACATGAGACAAAAGATACAGTGGAGTGTGGAGTATCTTGTTAAGGAAGAAATGTTCTTAACTTTCTACTAAGAAATAGCAAAAATGGCTTTGGTGCTTGTGGAACCCAGTCATCTAGTGAAAACTCTGAATCTAATTTCACTTCTGCTTGCAAACGTGATGAACGGTGGATAGTGATTTGTTGTTTCTCCATTTTTTGCCTGAAATCTCTGCCAGGTCTCATTCATTTGTACCCTCTGTCTGCCAGTCATTATTGAACATAGCACACCGTATTTTTTTTTCAGACCTAAAGAGAGAATAAGAATGCAAGGTATTATCAGCATACTTAGCTATGTAAGATAAATAGCATAAAGTAAATCCTTGCAGAGTGAATAATAATAGTACCTGATGGTTAGAAGAGCGGTTGCTTGACATTAGTTTGGGGAACTTCTTGGATTTGTAAAAGGATGCATTTAAATGTAGTGACCCAATTCTGAGGTCTGCTGTTGCATCAACAAAGTTTGAAAATGAAGATCAAGTGAGTGAGTGTCTTTCTGCTCCACTGGAGGTTTCTGGTCTTCCTGGGCTTGCCTTAGGACACCTGGATTATGGTTTGACAGGTGTTAGGCCTCAGGCAGACTCCTCAGCTGGTGCTGTCCTCATCATGATCCTTGACCGAGTGTATTAAAAACACATGATAAGGCTAGTAATGTAGTTTAGGTACAAGATCATCACCCACATGTAAAGCCACATTTTTACATGACCACTCAAGAAAACTTAGGTGAAACAGATGAAGTCAGTTGCATAAATCAAGGTATACTTACGCTTTTTCTCTTCCTCAAAAGTATACTTTTATTTTCTATGATGTAGTTCAAATGAGTTGTAGCTTAATCCTACAAAGTAAATGTATTTTGGACTATTTGAGTCTTGAATGAAAACGCCTATATGGTAGTTCATCATGCTTGCAGCTCTGTATATTGAATTCACATCTCCAGTTGATTTGCTTTACCATTCCTAAGTTCTTAAAAATGTTGAGAAATTATTCAGTACTAGTATAAGGCAGCATCTCATAATCAAGGATGAGGTAAATCAAAAGTACCTAGATGCAAAATGTTTTCATCACAGTTTTAAACTTGTCTGCAAATGTAAGATTAAGCGCATGGATTGCACATGGATTATTTTTTTGTAACACAGAAGGTATCATTGCCCTGACGGTGCTGTGTGATGTTGTCCTTAAACTGGAGGGTAAAAAAAAACCGAACCAACCACAAAGCCAACACTCTACCGCCTCCCAAAAAAGCCCAAGCAAAGAACAATCTGCATTAAACCCATTACCCAGACCAAAACCTCTTCTCAGTTTACAAGTAAACATATGTAATTGAGATATAACCTTACGTTCAGCCTTATTAATTGATATCTCTGGAAATTGTTAGGGTAAAATGTACTTTTCTTTCTTTCTTTTTTTTAAATATATATTAAAGTTCCTGTAGATTGAACAGCTACTTTAGTCTTCAAAAAACTTCCCAAAATAAGATGATCTAGGAATAAAATCTTAGTAATCCTTGGGGATTTCAGAGGTTTTGTACTGCTCCACTGTTTCCCCACCTTTCTGAATAAAAGTATTCCTCAAGTGTGACTTTTATTCTTCCTACATGATTCCATGGAGCAGGAGAAATGAAAGCTGAAAAGGCTAGGCTTAGCACTTAATTCCTGTATTGATTTCAATTTTAAATCCTTCATAGTTTGGGGAATAGTATGCAGTAACTTTAATAAAACAACTGTGATATTAATGGTGGAAACAGACTGAGAGGTGGGGTGAACTGCTGTCTGCAGGCGATGCAGCTGTGGCACTTTTTAAAATTTCAGAGTATTATGGTAGCAATTGCAATATGGGTACTTTTCCTCTAGATTAGTAAACTTAATTCTCTGGTTTGCCAGTGTGGTAGAGTTGCCTTCAATGGGTTTTATAGATCTTTTCAGTATGTGGTCCTGGCAGATCTCTGAAAACAGAATGTCTTCTGATAACACATTCTCTTGAACTGGTTTGCTAAACTCATTATGTCAAATAAGTACAATGGTTTCAATCCTGATTAATGTGCCAGAAAAGTGAAGAAAAAGGGTAGCTTTGTTCCAGTTTAGAATCATAGAATATTTTGGGTTGGAGGGGACCTTTAAAGTTCATCTAGTCCAACCCCCCTGCTGTAAGCAGGGACATCTTTAACTATATCAGATTGCTTATAACTTGAACAAATATTAAATATCTTAATCTTTTGTATGAGAGCACTCTACATCCATGAAATAGGGTGCTTGGCAGAGAAATGCAGTTATGCTGCTTTTACAAGTCAACCCAAAGATGAATAAGAATAAATAGATATTATTAAAACCTGATATAGCAGAATTGCATACAGTCTGTTTCATGCACTAGCAGTATGAAGTTTAAAAAAAAATAATTCCCTATAGTAATTAAATAATGCATTGCTTTTAGTGATGTGTTTTCATTTTCAAATGTTACTTCTAGTAGAAGAAAACAGCAACCTGAATGATAATCCTGAATATATGCAGCAAGTATTCTAGATGTCTAAGTATTAGAAACTTCTAATAATTATACTGTGTCCTCCTGAAAAGACTATCATGATTAAGGCTATACAGTAATAAATATGAAGTTCAAGATTTTTTTGTGCTAAAATGAGACTGACTTATGCTTGGATATATGGAGAGCCTTCCTAAAGGAAAAGTAGGGTTGAGGTTCTGAAGTTAGAAGCAGATAAGTACTGAACCATGAAGGGAATTAAAAATTAGAATATGCACGAATGACCTCAAGATAAAAAAAAAAAAAAACAAACCTTATAGAGAAGTAGAACTTCCTGTCTTGACATGATGATGGCATATAAGTGATATCAGACATTGAAGTGTGGAACTTCAAGGTTTGAAAGGCCGTAGCTTGCTAGTCTTATTAGATGACTTTGAGTGTGGTATTTTTATTTAAAAACGAGCTCTTTGGAGTGAGAGGGATTAGATAAAATTCCATGGAAACATAAAAAGATATATTTCTGGCATATTAGAGGAATTACTACAAGGATGTTGAACACTGAGGATTATTATCCCTTAAATGTGTGTGCTTGTTTTGGTAATGTTTTATTTGGTTGGTTAGTAACACGTTCTGTTCTGTTTGTTTGTTTAGGAAATGTATTTCTAAAGCATGGTTCAGATCTACGGATTATCCCCAGAGATCGAGTCGGGAGTTCTTAACATCTCCTGAAAGATTTGGAATAAGTGACATTGCCATGCAGAAAAGGTCGATTTATTTTGGAACTTCAAAATGCTTTTTTAAAGCTAGCAAAAACAACTTCCCAGGATTTGATTTTTTTTGAAACAGAGATAAGGTTTCATTTTCTTGTTAAAATACATTAACTCACGCACTGATTCTTCTCTGACTAGTAGAAGAGTGAACTGATTGCATGTTGCGTTCCTGAAAGAAAGCTGGGACTTTTCTATAGGTGTTACTGATGCCACAAGGGTGAACACATAGTTAAGATCAGTAGATATTTAAAATATTGGATATTGTTGAGCCTACTTGTGCAAGGGGGAACTGTGTTATTATTTTGCGGCAAAGAAATTGTTCCTACTGAGTGCTAAAACTTTTTCTTTTTTCCTTTTTTTTCCTAAACTTCCATATTCAGAGGAACATTTTTCACATGATTTAAGTATAAAGCTCAAATAGAAGGGACATTTCAGGGGTTTATTAGTCAAATGAGTAAATAACTGCCAAATGTTCCAAAGTACTTGTACAGTTTCCTTGCTGCAAATATTTTAGTTAAAGGAGAAAACAGACATTTTTATGTATTAAAACTTCATTTGACTTATTGTGAAGTTAAATTAAATTGCAGTTTCACAGAATTTGAGAGACCTAATCTCCTCATATGGAAGTGTCACCAGCTGAGAAGGATTGCAACGTAATTTGAGAATGTGTAGGTACTGGTCAAATATGTCATTCCTTTTTCAGTAAACTAATATTGGTTCTTTTTAAAAGTCTTGCTTTGTTACTGCGTGTTACATGGGAAAAAGCATAGAATTCACTGAAATGTTTGTGTTCAGATTATATGCTTCTTGTTTATAAATTGTCAGGGGTAAACTATCAGTTATATACTTTAATTAGACAAATTGCTGCGTCTCTTGAACTGGTAATCTACTTTGTGATTCAATATATTTGGCAAAAATCTTACCCAATTGCATTTTTTTTTTCTGTCCTACTGAGGTTTAACAGAAAGAACAATGGGCAATGTAGTGCTTGGTTAAATGAGTATTGTTACAAATATGAACTGTCCTGTGCAATAGTTGTGCTCTGGAAAGATGTTCAGCTAACGTGTCAGATAATTCAGAAGTACAAAATACCGTTCTGAATGAATGTAAATGGAATATATAGAGGAAAACTCTTCTGAAAGTGGTATTTGACTATAAACATTTTCCAACTCTTAAGATAAATTGTAAAATTCTGGGTTTTCCTTTATTTTAATAAACAATTATATGAAAAAAGTGCAAACTTTGTTCCTCTCATATTCTTGATTAGATTTTGACAATAATTATAAACTGCCCTTTAACCTGCTAATCAGCATGCTTTGAGATTCAGTTCAAGCCAAAAGATTCTTAACGTGCAGAATTTTACAGAACACTGCCCTTAAAGGGCAGAGTGCGTAGTTTCTAGTAATCCAATACCACAGTATAATTACGGTGAGCCAATTTATTGCTTGTAATTTTTGTCTGCAAATCTCCTTTACTGAATACCTGAAAAACCTCCTGGTACTGGAATATAACGAACAGGATTTTCCCATCTAAAGGTACAATATAGTTTTCGAAAGGCCATCATGGTTAAATTCATTTTGAAACAGATGCTTTGATGTTTATGTAAAGGAGTCTTATGTAAAAATAATTTCAGATGATGATTAACATTTCTTACACAGTTACTTAGGTAATAATAGGAATAACAAAGTAGTTTGACATAGTACATTGCAGGTAGTTTACGTGATGTGCAAAGGATCTCTTCATTTGGAACAATAACTGGTCTTTATTGTACTTCCCAAATTCCCTACACCTTTGTCCCTATATGGTCTCTAAAATCTGAACATAACCTTTCTGTCTGGTAAAGAGGCTTGATTTCAGTAGTAAAATGGACTTAGCAGATGTTTGACAGTTGATTTGATGTTTGCAAGTTCATTTTGTTATGTCTTAAGTCATGTTTGACATGGTTGTATAGGGTAAATTTAGGTTTAGAACCAGACTTCCTAGGGCTTGGGAGTTGTCATGAGGTTGTGAAAAGTGCTGTACTCTCAAAATTGTACTGGTTTGTCTCACCGTGCTTTGGAAATCAACTCTACCTGAAGTTTGTATTGTCTTTGCCTCTGGTTGTAACTCCACTGGTGTTAAATGGAAGATTTCAATTATTTTTTATTAACTTCGTCATGAGTTTGCTGAAGTCAATTTAAAGGGTCTTTTTTTTCCTGTATTTTACATTTGTAAAAGCATGGCTGGTTTATGTCATAAGGGTATTCTGTGACATTTCGGGAGGGTCATAAATTTTAAAAGTCCCACCAAAACTCTTAAAGAGCAGTATTCATTCTTTTGCTTTCTACAGTTTTATTAGTCTTATTTTTCTCAAATCTATTACTTGATAGAATTTGAAGATATCATGGAAATTTTTCAGGGAGGGAAGCACAAGGATCTGATGAAGTATGGAAGAACGGGAAGAGCTAGGAAATGACCCTGATAATAGTTCTGGCAGTAGTATGGCTTTCTTCCTTGTGTTCCCATGGTCACAAAATCCAACTTTCTTCTGTTTGCGATTAAAAGACCATTTTCCTCTCTTGTTGCTACTACATAATAACTGTAAAAATTGTTGACAGCAGGCCTCAAAAGTCGAGAATTTTTCTTCTTTGTGTTCAGGTTGATGGTGAAAACCCACCTCCCTCTGCTGCTGCAGTGATACAATGAGCAGGAGCTGTGCCAGCACAACTGCACAGCCTTAGTGGATTCGGGAGGTGCTGGGGGCACAGCACTCCTTTGTATGGCAGCACATGGGTGGCCATCAAATGGAGCACTTTAATGGGCCGGTGGAAAAAATTAAATCCTGCAGTCATCCTAGAAGTGCTGCGGAGACTGTTCCAGTGATTCTGGCAGGAGCACTAAGCTCCAGCTGGGTACAATTCACTCTACGTGCAATACATTGTGTTCAGATTTAAATACAATATACCCAACTGTACAGCTCGCTAGTGAGTTTCAGGCACTGTTCCTGCTGTTGGAAGGTAAATGCTGGGGAGTATTCACAAAGCCTAGGCTGATCTTTTAGAGGCTAAAAGAGGCTAATCTCTGTGGGCTGTTTCTGAAGTTAATGGAAGTGAGAGTCCTCCAGAGAGAGATTCAGAGTAGCTAAATGAATCTTCAGTTCTGAATCGCCCTCTGGAGGAGCCTTCTCTCTTTACTGGCCAGAGAAAGCCATTGAGGCCTTGGCCTGCGGGGGCTAATGTTAACCTTTCCCAATACCTTCCCCAACAGGTACTTCCCCCTCCTATCAATATTATATGTTATGGCATACTGATTCGCTGTTGTTTCATCTTAACTTGTTCAAAACCAAAATTACAAGAGCATGTGTGGATGAAAACAAACCTACTTTTTTATGTAATATCATTTGTTGAATGCATTTTTTTTTTTTTTTTTCTTTTTACAGCAGGTTCAGCAGCCTTGGTGGGAGTGTGGGGGGGAAGGCTTGTTGTTCTTTACAGAAAGCTTTGTCAGGTTGAAATTAGTTCTGTCAACAAACAAAGAAGAAAATGTGTCTACTGCAGAAGAAAACAAAGGATTCTACTACTTCATTTTTTCACAGTATAGAATCTGTCTCCTTTATCTCCCTGAAAAGGTTAAATATTCCTGGAAAGCAGATTTTATAGGGTTTAGAGTGCATGCAAATAGCCACTAATAGAGAATCAGGTGCAGGTGTTCCTGTTGATTACTATGAATAAAATCCTGAGGCAATGAGTGGGAACTGTCAGTGGCTTTCACTGATGTGAAATATCAGATGTTTTGTGTAAGAACTATATCAACCTTAGAGGGTTTTGATCATTTTAATAGAGAAAATTGCTCTTTGATTTGGAACAATAGCTCAAATTTGTCCTACAATCAAATTCTATTTATAGACTTGAAAATACTCTTCATGTGGTGGGAATGAGAAGATCACTATCTGCAGTCCCTTTCACTGCTCATGAGATTCAGCTGTTGTATCAGTTCTTCACAAGGGCTGCTTTAAAAGATTGAGGTTTGTTTTTATATATGACTTGAGGTCTAATTACAGGAGTCAATAAAGGAGCGAATGTTATTTTGAATTGAAATTAACTGGATACAGAGTTCTACATAATTTTTCCCAATAATATTCCCCTATTTGTCTGCAAAAGAAACCTTTGCAGTACAGTAAACAGAAGTACAGTACCCATTTCCTGCTCACTTACCAAAAATCAAAGATCAAAGGTGTGGTCATGTAAGTGGTTGTCATGTCTTCTGATAATGTAGACTTGATTTCATGTCCTGGCAAAAAATAATTTTTAATGGCTGTTTCAAAATATCATTGGCTATTAGCCACTTACTAAAAGTCAATGAAAAAACCAGTGATGTTGTTTGCGGTCTGTCTTGGGGAACAAACAGTGAGAATTCTGCAAACTTTTGGTGCTTACTGTGCAGACGAAGCAGATAACCCTCGGCAGGTTTCTGCACGAGAGTCGCTTAAACAGGTCTTGTAGCCACTCAGATGTGTCTGCTGCTAATTTAGTTTTCTATTTCTTGACATTTTTCTTGTGTAGAGCTAGGCAAAAGCTATTTCAAAGCTCTGTCACAAAAGCGTGTTGATTTCTTGCCTAAAATCCATTGCTTTTACCTGACTGTTCAGGTGAGTGTTCCTGTTGCATGGTTGTGGTAAACACACCCGTAGGGCTGCTGCGGTTTCAGAGGGAGCAGTGGGCGTTGAACTGACCGACCTGTCCAGGTGAGTGACTTCCAGAAAAGTGAGGTTGCCCCCCGTGGAGTCAGTTGAGACACCTTTGGATGTTGCTCTCGTGTAAGTTGCTGACTCTATAGTTGATAATTCTTTAGAGAGCACTGAAATAAAATCTATGAAATGTGGCCTACTGCTCTAATATGCACAAGATAGAACACAGGAAAGATGCTGCTGAAGTGAAGGGGGTTGCTGTTGGCAGAGGTAAGGACTGGTCCTAACAACTAGACAGTTTTGCATATGGGACCAGATTCATTCCTCAAATTTGACTTGCAGGGGTTTTTTGCTAATCTTTTGAATTCCTTATGAAAATATATATTTTTATTTTTTTTCTGTGCTGTGTGTATGGCTTCTTGCATGATGAAGAGGGAATACAGAACCATGTCTGGGTCGACAAGCCAGGGTCTCAAACCAGACTTGGTGGAATTCCAGCCCTTGTTCTGGGAATGGTGTCTGTATTGTACATCCAACAGCCAGCAGTTAAACAAGGAAGAGGTCATGAGTAGAGGGAGAACACTACCCCTCTAAGACAAATCCAGAGAGAGAACTCCAAATACTGATGTTTGTCTGTGTTTGGTCATTTTCTCCCTGGTGGTATGCACCTTTCTGTACAGTTGCCTGTGTGCGTGTGCAGACTGCCCTCATGTCAGGATAGCGTGTAGCCTGCTGTTTTCAGCATTCTCCTGAGAAATGAGAGAGGTTGATCTTCAGGATAAGGAGAAGATTGGATCTTCATCTTAATACTGCAGGTGAGCCCAGGCAGCCAAACTCCTAGGAGGCAGGGGGAATGCCCTGACTCCAAACTGGCAGCATGCGAGTGAGATCTTTGTGTTTAGCAGAGTTTTGGAGGGCTTACAGTACAAAAAAAGGGCATTGATAAACTGGATCAAGTCCAGTAGAGGACTACCAGGGTGGTTAGGGAACTGAAGCACATAACGTAGGAATAAAGAGTGACAAAGCTGGCTTTATTCAGCTTGAAGCAGAGAAAGGTGAGGAGGAATCTTTCAGACATCTGAGGGGTGGTTGTATAGATTATGGAGACAAAATTGAGCTAGAGGTGGACAGTGAAAGCAGTGGACATAGATTGCAGCGTGGAAATTTTTGATTTATAAGGAAGGAAGTATTCATAGACTGCTTGAACACTGGAACTGGTTGCTAAGAGAGGCTGTGGACTCTCCATATGTGGTGATACATCTGTGGTGATGATTGGACAAGACCCTGAGAACTGATGTAATTGAGGCTGGCCCCGGTCTGAGCGGGGCTTGAACCAGATAAACCCCAGAGATCCTTTCCAACCTAAGCTAGTCCCTGGCCATTTCTTTGCCTAATCCCTCTCTCACAAGTTTTGCTTGATAGAGAAAAAGCTCTATTTTGCTTTATCTTAGGAATTTGCCCAGATAGTGGCAACATGGCAAAGCCACAGCTCTTCCTACTTGACCACTTTTTGCCCTCCGCACATCTCTACTTTCTGAGAATACCTGTAAAGGGTTAACAGCCTTTGACCTCCT